AGTGCTTTGATCAGTGATGATCCTTTCCGCCAACTAAGAAAAATGACGGCAAAATCGGCTAAGTTCGTGAATGGTGGCTTTATTGTCGGCAATGCGACAAAGGCCGAGTGCTGGTGTGAGCACTTCGACCGCCTCATCAAGTTTAATAGAGAACCCACCACCCAGTTTCTTCCATCTACAGCGGAGTCTCCTCCGTCTCTCTTTATCCAGTTTCATGCGACCCGCCTTCTGAGGGAGAGGACGGTATACCCGCGAAGTTTACGGGTCTTCTGTCAACACTCTGGCGCCTTGGTTCTATTAAGTGATTGGACAAGCATGGAGAGACGAGGCCGTTCCTGATGACTGAGGCTCGGGCATCTTTATGCCCGTCTACAAGACGGAAGATAGAACAAGATGCGAGAACTACCGCGGCATAAGTATTATCGCCGTCGCTGCGAAGATCTTCAAAATTGTTATTCTCAGTCGATTCCAGTCTGTGCGTGACTCTAGGACGCGGCCCAACCAAACCGGACTTTGCGCTGGGTGTGGATGTGTAGACCAAATATTCATACTAGGACGGATTTTTGGATTCCGCCATGGCTACCAACAACCAACGGCTGCCCGCTTTGTTGACTTGTTCACTGCGTTCGATTCTGTCTATTGTGAATCCTTATGGCGGATAATAGTGATGGATGGTGTACCACCAAACATAATCGCCATGATTAAGAAATAATCCCGCTCCACCACCGCGCAGGTTTTGGTCCACAACAACCTCTCACAACCGTCCGCTATTCTGTCTGGTGATCAACAAGGCTGTGTCCTGTCACCCATTCTATTTGACTGCAACATTGACTGGATTCTTGGAAGACCCTACGTGAAGATGACGGTATTGAGTTTGCACCCGGACGCGGGTTGATTGATCTCGGCTATGTCGATGATATCACGTTACTAACTTCAAGCTTCGGCAATCTACAGTCCATGGCCGGAGTCGGCAACCTATGGCTCGTGAACCAGGTGTGGCTCTTTTGATGATTGCGTCTAGCTCTCTCAGATAAAATTGATCTTATAAACTTCAGATTTTGTGATTTTGGTTCCTACAATGACGTGCCGCCGCCGAGAAGCGTATGGGAATCAGTTTAATCTCGACCAATCTCTGGCGTCTCGGCCCACTAGGTTTGACCTAGTAGTTGTTTTAGTGTTCCCTTTCCTGCTAGCTGGCAGCAGCTGCTTCTCTTTTCTCCCGCGTCCCGACGGCCACGACAAGCCCGCTAAATAACACACGCTCTGCTAAAGCACGACAGCCCCCAGGCTTGACCTCAGCTTAGTCAAGGTCACTTTGGCAGACAAGGCTATCTTACACACATAGGCCAGACTGCCTTGTCACCTACAGTCCCTTGTGTTTATGTCCCCCAGACGGACGCATTTATCACACGCGAGCAAACAGTCCATTCGCGAAACTTACCTTGTGGACTAATAAATCGTTCCTAACATCTGACTGCTTTCTTTAATCAGGTGAAATATTCTTAGTGTAGTGGTTATAGTAGATCGCACATCCTTGACTGCTACACACACACTCTCTCTCATTCGCCCAAAGTTAATCCCTGCAACAAAGACGGCGAAAAGAAGAAGAGAGGAGGAGTATCGTACATTTCAAGACGCATGGGCCGAAGAATTCGCCTTTATGGAGAGAGCAGGTTATGCTATGTGTCCAATTCGCAATGACAAGATTACACCGATGAAACGGTCGAATGTAAAGCGCCACTTCAACACACGCCATTATATATTTGCATCAAAATATTCTGCGGGAGATAGCCGAAAGAAAGTATGCCAAGAGCTAATGAGCATGATGCAAGCCAGCCAGCAGCAACTCTGCGTATGGACCCAGCAATGCGACTATAACCGCTAGATTTGCTGGATCTTTAGCAGTAGTGAGGAACGGAGAACCATTTACAGATGGTGAGTATGCTAAAACTTTCATGTTGGATGTAGCCAGTAAATTTTTTGATGAGCTTCCGAACAAAGACAAGATAATTAAACGGATATAAAACATGCCTCTGTCGGCAAATACAGTTCATGAGCGTACCATCATGATGGCAACCCACGTGGAGGAAAGGCAAGTGAAAGGCATAAGTGCAGCGC